AAAGCAGGCTTCTACACAATGTAAGTCTTTGCAGGAAAAGACATAAAATGCTTTCATTTGTTAATAAAGAAGTATAAATTGAGGCAATGTGATAATATAATTGTATATCTAGTAAAGAAACAATATACAAATGGATTCTTATATCCTGTGCAGACAAGGTAAGGGTACAAGTGCTACCTACACAGCTACCCACCTTCCTGGTTATACTGAACAGAAGGGCAAGACTTCTGGGAGCCTGAAGAACACGTTAGCCAAAGCTCTAAATTCTGTGATGCAGTAGTTCTAATTGGAAAATGTTTGTTTTAGCCTAAGAAAATAAAAGTGGTGTTTAAATAGGAACATACAGAAGGATCCCCTCTGCCAGCATTATGTACAACAGAGAAGGAAATCATGTAACTTTAGTAAATTATGATGCACACAAAAGTTGGCACATTAGGTAGCAAATAAGCTACACAGGTAAAGAAAAAGTCTGTGTTAGACCCCATGGTCCTGCTGAGAATACCTGAGACTGGGTAATTTATAGATGAGGCTGAGGCATTAAGGTTGAGAGTCCTGCACCGGGGGCAGGCCTCCTTGTTGCCTTATCCCAGCATGAAACAGAGATGGGCAGGACGGCATGAGTCAGCAGGAAGCAAGAGCAGATCGGGTTCCTATTTAACAACTCATTCTTGTGGTAAGTAGCTCACTCCTGTGATGATGACATTCATTCACTCTGTTTTCGCGACCTAATCACCTCTTAACTAAGTTCTGCTTCCCAATACTATTGCTTTGGGGGTTAAGTTTTCAACGTGAACTTTTGGGGCCACTTTCAAAGTCTACATGTACATTTTGAAAATATGTACACAATTGCTCTAGTACAAAACATTACTAACTGCACACTCTGTTCTTCATATGTCCTCCAAAACTCACATGCTGAAGTTTTACCAAATCAATGGGGTAATACAAGAGGTGAAAATTTTAGGAGGTGAATAAACCATGAGGTTAGAGCTCTTGGGAATGGATTAGCACCCTTATAAAAAAGGTACAAGGGAGCCACCTCCCTTCTTTTTGCCCTCTGCCTGTTCTGCTATGTGAGGACGTATTCTTCAGGGTGCCATTTGGGAAACAGAGACAGGGTCGCTGAGTCTGCCAGTGCCTTGACTCCACAGGCCTAACCTCTCAAACTGTGAGGAAGTAGACTTCTGTTCTTTTTAAATTACCTGTTTTGTTATAGCAGCACAAGCAGTCTAGTACAGCATATACACTAATTAAACAATGTTTCAAATGTATATTATTTGATAGAAGTTGTGAGAGGATACAAAAGGAAAAGGATATGTCTAAAGAGAAAGTTTTGAAAATCTTTCCTTTTATTAAATCACCTTTCAATTGTGTTTATATTGCTTAGAAAACAAATATGTGATTTTAAGAAGAGACTATCCCATTCTTCTAATATTCAATAGCAGGACCAGGGATATAGCTCAGAGACACAAGCACCTGCCTGGCAAGTGCAAGGTCATGAGTTCAATTCCCGGTACCAGAAAAAAACAAAAAGCAAACAAACAAAAAAATTCAATAGCAATAGAGACTTTAAACAAAAGTGAATAGCTGAAGGGAGTGCTACCTAGACAGTTCATCAGCTGCCTTGTAATGCATGCAAAGGATTACCTAGGAGAGAGAATTTAGTAAAAACAAAGCCAGGCTAAGTGCTACAAAATTTTAATAATTTATTCAGAATTCTCTTCCCACTAATGCTATGTTCACTATTGTATGCAGCTCTGGTATTGGATTCCGAATGGCATTAAACCAACTAGACATTAATGCTAATTAAGTGTGCCTTTTCGTTCCAAAATCCACATTCTTTGCTTTAGTAGCAAACATACAAATATAATTCAATACTTTAAAAACATTTTAGAACACCTTTTGGCTCAATAAAATCAGAAAAGGCAGGAAATAGATTAATGTGGATACCATATGTTATGGTTTGTGTTTAGAAGCACCCCCAAAAGCCTCATGCAGTCATAGGTGGGCTTTTACAGAGGTTCCTGAATCTAGAGTGTGTATGTGACTCATGGTACAATGCTAGGATTATGGGTGCTAGGACAAAGGGTGGGTGATTAGTAAACCAGTACACTGATTGGTTTGGTACCACCCTAATCCTGGTAGCCTGGACACAATTTAAGTGACAGATAAAGGCTTGTCTTGTCTCTTGCTTGCTTGCTTCTTCTGTCTTCTGCTTGCCATGAACTGGTTCTACTTTGAGATGGCCCTCTACCATGCCACCCTACCTTGCAGCCAGCCTATTATGGACTGAAACCTCTACAAACTGTGAGCTAAATAAACCTTTCCACCTTCAACTTTGGGTGCTGGGTATTTTATCTCAGCAATGAAAGAAAAATAATTAAGATACCACATTGTTGACTATTTCTTGTCTTGACTTAAAAAGTAAATGATAAAAGTAACTTGTGTAATATTTATTCCAATTAACACTGATTTCTCCCTTCTGTTGGAGGAGGATGGTAAACCTTCCTGATTAATATTTCAGGCAGGTGTGGATCAGCTTGGGTTCTTTTCTTGCTGTCTGAATTAGAATTATTGAAGGATTATTTTAGGAACAGCCTTCTGTGAGATTTTGATTTCCAAAATACATTAGCACACCTTTTACCTTCATAAAATAATCTAAGCAAAGACTTTACTGAAAAATTAAGATTATGTTACATTTCCCATTTCGTTCTGCAAAATGGAAAAATGAAAATGTGTGATTTTCAAATAAAGTTTAAATTTAGCACCTAATGTGGATGTATTAGTGCCAACATCTTAATCAATGTCTCCTGAAATTAACTAAAGCTCTATTTATTTTGAATTAGAAATAGTCAATCCATTTTAAAGTTTCAGTGTTTCTTATGATTCTACACACCCATAAATGAAAGCAGTACTTGTAACACAGTTATGTAACATCAACCTGTTTCTCTTATACAACATCTGTCAAATTCTAAGACTGCTCACAGATCGTCTGTGAGAGTAATCTGGACAGCTTGGTCAAGGGCTTTAGTGCTAAATGGCAGATTTCACTGCATTAATCTTCAGTAAATTAATGTAAAGGCGGAAGTACATGTTTGCAAATTGGATTGTAAGGGTCTCCTTAGGTGTCCTAGTATATCTAGTCCTCTCGTAACTACGATCTCAGAATATGGCAAGGTAGAACACAAATAAGGCAAAGATATTCACTATTCATCAGTGTGGGATTTTTACCTTATGTTGTTTCATTACTGTTGTTGTTAGGTTTTTGTTTGTTTGCTTTCCACGCTTTATGTCTTCACTACCAATGACCATGAGTTCTGATGAAGCAGAACATGATTTGCAGCACCAACTGCAATCCTTTGCTTGATTAAAGAACCATGCAAATTTGAATAAATAAGGAAATAAATAAATAAATACCATCTTTGAAATCTAGCTGTCCTGGAACCAAGAAGAGCTATGTCTCTGATAGAAGGCTGTTTCCCTACTCAGAGTAAAATGATGATTTAAAGCTAAGTGTGGCTGTACCCATCTTTAGTCCTAGCACTCTGGGAGGCTGAGGCAGGAAGACTGCAAGTTCGAGCCTCACTGGGGCAACTCAGTGACTTAGCAAGACTCTGTTTTAAAATAACAGAGGGAAAAAAGAGCAAGGGATGTATGCGAAGTGTGAAGGCCCTGGGTTCAGTTCCCAATACTGAAAGTAAATAAGTAAATAAATAAATAAGGACTAAACATCTGTCCTGTTATTTCCATCCACAAGGTTCTGCTTCCACATGAACATGAGAGATGGTGGAACAGCCACGGGAATGAGGAGGGATTTGACTTGGGGATGCTCCCTTTCATCTGCATTCTGAGTCTGCTGGAGCCATATGAACTTGTAAGCCTGTGAGTGTGATGGTTGACTTTGTCAACTTGCGTAAGCAAAGTTTAACTGAATCGGTTCAGCAATTCCACACCCTCGGGTGCAGAAGACCTGCCCTAGGGTGTGAGTGTGATGGTTGACTGTGTCAGCTTGTGTAAGTGAAGCTGAACTAAATCGGCTCAGCAATTCCAGACCCTCGGGTGCAGAAGACCTGCCCTAGGGTGGCTTGTTGCCTGGACGGTATAAAGAGGAAATGAAGAAGGAGGGATATGCTTCTGATTCTTTGGAGGAGCTCCAGTCTGTGCCTTCACCTTGGACGTCGTCTCCTGGCTTCCAGCACAGGCTCTTCTGCTTCCGGCACACATCCTTCAGTCTTCTGACACAGACTCTTCAGCCTTCCATGGAAGACCCAGCAGCCTCCTGATATGGACTTGCATGGGACACTGCAGTGAGTATCACACCTTCGACTGAATCCTTTGGTCTCCAGTGTGCAGACAGACCCTCTGTACGCTCCCTCATCCAACTCCGTGGGTGGCCATTGTAAGCCAGTGTTGTTAATTCTTATGTATTTGTGTATCTTGTGTAGTGTCTGTTTCTCTAGTATACACTGACTAATACAATGAGCTGTATGAACTTTGCTGCCTCAGATAGAATACAGTTGCCTAGGACACATGCCTGAATAGGGCCTGGCAGATTTTTCCTTGAGTTCTCCAGAAGAACACATTAAGCGACCTCTTGGGCCATCACTGATTTTGATGTAGGGAGGCAGCACCAAACCCAGAACATCTAACCCATAGCACTTGGGTTATAGGGATGTGAGCCACTGAACGTCTCTGAGAAAAGTTTTACTAAGCTAGTTAGGTTCAGCTCCTACCTAGAAAATTCCTAGAGCAGGTACAATAAATGCAAAAGGGATAAGATTCTGGGTCACCACGACATAAATGTAGGCATATATTCACTTGTATGACTAAAGAGTTACTAAAAATATGAGAACTAAAACCAGAAAACGTTCCAAATCTTATTCCAGATGCATCTGAGTGCTTTGAATGTTTCCAGGTTTAATTTCATTTTGCCAAAATGCAGACAAGGACCACTGCACAGAAAGTGAACTAACAGAGATGCCAAAGGCGGGGAGCTCACGTACCGGTGCACGCCGTTGCTGCACATGATGAGGTGGCAGGCGCCCAGCCTGTCGCACAGCTCGGAGGAAACCGACAGCAGGCCAACCCCGGAGGCGCTGCAAGCTGTGTTTGCGCAGGCGGCTGTGCGTTTGGATCTGATGAATGAGGCTACCAGGCGATAAAGTTCATCCAAAGCATTCAGAGGCCTCATTAGCTGCAGAAAGAAGTGATGAACAGAAAGTTCAACGTGTTTAGCTGGAATCCTTTTAGCTGGGATGCACCACAGTTGTGGTAGCTTTTAATGAACAGTTTTATCATGTTGTAATGGGAGTGACAGGATTGAAGACTAATTATAATTACACATTGCTCAAGAAGGACAGCAGAAAACTAAGGGAGGTTTGTGAATAACAAAAAGTATCAGTAAGTGTAATCATCTCTTTTTACCTTATCTACATAGGCAGCTTTGGATGTGGAGCTTGGTGGGGAATTTGATTTGTCCAGGTAGAATGCCCTGTAGGAATACAAAGAAAAAACTGTTTATTGGCAGACAATTTAAAATGAGTAATAAACACATTCAACTTTCATTAACTTTCTTTCACAGAAGTGAATAAAGCTCTAAACACCAATCAGTGGGTTGCACAAAAGTCAGCAGGTCCTCATTCAAACAAACAAACAAAACCCCCCCTCCAAAACAGAAGCAATGAAAGCTACCACTACAATTACACAACTGTCTTTGTTCAGTTTTGTCATCTGAAATTTGAGAGCAGCATCAACTTCTACTTCAGATGATTGCTAAGAAGAATCGAAGATTCAATTCAGAAGAAAATGCTTATAACATGGCACAGCATGTAAGAAGTGTTTTTTAATAATTGTGATAAAGCATGAAAGTTGAAGAAACATAATATGACTATTGGAAAATATTACCCAATTTTCATTTATTGTGAGAATGCAAGATTATAAAACTATTACAAAAAACCTTCTAATTTTAGAAGGTCATTAAGCTGACCTTTCCATCAGAAAGCTACGTGCACACAGAACACCAGACTTCATGGATGCCTGGGCTCTTTTTTCACCAGGATGCAACATGTAATGACTATGAAGTTGAATTCTAATGGCTTGCAATAATCTGAAGGACTACTGCCTTACTTGCTTGGCTTTTGACTGAATATTAAACAAAATTTAGAGAGTGATTGTTATGGTTTGTGTCTGGATGTCCCCCCAAAACCTCATGCAGTCATGGGGCGGGCTTCTAGAGTTTATGATTGGTTCATGGGTGTGAGTGCTATACCTGCCCTGGGGTGGGTAGTTTGCCTACAATGTAAGGGAGGGAAAGAGGCTGCTTGCCACTGCTCTTCCCTTTTGCTCTTGTCTTTTGCTGTTTTCCTGCCATGAACAGTTGCCCTCTGCCATGTGCCACTCTGCCTTGGAGCCAGCTGAGTATGGACTAAAACCTCCACAAACTGTGAGCTAAATAAACCTTTCCTTCCTTAATTTTGGGTGTCAGGTATTTTGTCTCAGCATTCAGAGAAAAGTAACCAAGACAGTGATTCTTGAAGACAGGATACATTTAAGTTTTTCACCAAGTATCTATTTTTCAAAATTGTGTTAAAATGCATATAACATAAAATGTATCATTTTAAACATTCTTAAGTATATATTTCAATGGCATTAAATACATTCATATTAGTCATCTACTTATTTATTTTTGTGGAAGTGAAATTATTTCCAAGATATGAACATTTATTGTCAATATAATAAAATAAGTCCTATTATATTAGGTGAATTGTCTTTTAAATAAAAATTGACTAGATTGATGTTTAAGAGCACCTTTTTTTTTTGTTTTTTTTGTTTTTTTGTTTGTTTTGTTTTGTTTTTTTTGTTTTTCTCCGGTACTGGGAACCGAACTCACGACCTTGCGCTTGCCAGGCAGGCGCTTTGCTGCTGAGTTAAATCCCCAGCCCCAAGAGCACCTTTTGAGAATTCAAAATATGCTGGGTGTGGTGGTGCATGCCTGTAATTCCAGCACTGGGGAAGTTGAGGTAGAAGGATTGCCCTATGAGTTCAAAGCCAGCCTACACTACCAAGGGAGACTCTGGCACAAACAAACAAACAACAACAACAAAAACAAAAACAATTCAAAATATTGGCCAATTATTGAAAATTATTTTTTTCTTCTTTAAAATACAGATTACACACATTTTTCAAAATAATTGCAAAAAAATCTTGGCATCCAAAGTTGGGTATTATTCATTAGAATTCACTCTGGATCCTAAGAGCTTTGTCTCCAAGTACCATCTGTTGTTTTCAGCCTGAATCCATAGCTCTCACTGCCTCAGGGTATGTGCCCTGCCAGAAGCATGGGGACTCCAGTAACCACAGGCTGCACCCAGCTCACAATGACTGGGTTACAGTGACATGAATCAGGAGTCCCACGAAGTTCCAACAAAAGACAGATCCTTTCAGCTAGGTGAGTCAGCATTCACTATAATAATGAGGTCAAGAGAAAACTCAAAGGAGTTTGGGGCATCCATCAGCATCAGCATCAGCATCAGCATCAGCATCAGCATCATCATCATCATCATCATTTTATGGTACTGGGGATTGAATCCAGAGCCTTTGCATGGAGCTACATCTCAGCCTTTATAAAATTTTTATGTAGAGATAGAGTCTCGTGGATTCATAAGTTGCCTGGGCTGGGCTTAAACTCGTGATCCTAAAATATTTTTAGCTAAGTGTGCTGGTATGCAACTGTACTCTTAGCTACTCAGAAGGCTGAAGCAGGAGAGTTACAAGTTTGAGGCCAGTCTAGACAACCTAGTGAGACTGTCTCAGACAAACAAAAAAATAAAAAATATAAAGGGTTGAAGACATAATTCAGTGGTTGCATCCCTGGCTTCCATCTTTTGCACTGCAAAATGACAACAAACATCAAAACTCACCAAACCTAGACTTTCCTCAGTGTCAGAAAATGATAGCAGCAACCCACGAAAAATACTATCGTCCAAAAAAGGGAAGGGAAGCATAGATCATATGAGGAACAAAACTTGCAATGGGGCTGAGCAAGGTAGTGAACAAGCAACCTTAAGAGTCAGGCAGGGGAAAATAGTGTAGAGGTTTGAGAACCCTGAGAAGGAGTTTGGGTTTTATTCTGAGGGAGTTTGGGGCCCAATGAAGGGAAATGACCATGGAACTTGCCTCATGGCCAAAAAATTTGCTAACTTTTAAACTTTATTGGTAGAACAAATTGATGTTCTTCTGAAAGTTCTCTAGGTCTTTTCATCTAAAATATACAGACATACTTAAGACAGTACAATAAAACCCCATGTGTACGCCACCATACTTTTAAAAACTCCTAGCAATTTACCTTTTGCAAATTTTTCCCTCCTCGGTACTGAGGAAAGGGCTCCACTACTGAGCTAGTTACACACCCAGTTACAGATAGAGTTAACCCCCGTCCCGGTGTTGCTTACTCTTCCCCTCCCACTCTTGCTCAGGGTGGTCACTTTCTCCCTCTCAGAAAGGTCACCTGGAGATTGATGTTTCTCACTTTGAGACTGTGCAACGTCACCCACACCGTGCACACCGGAGGCAAGAAAGAGCAGGTGTGGTCATCCTTCTGCATCTTTGCCTTGATGCCCTTGGATTTTCAACTTTGGTCTTTTTACCTTCGATTTGTGTATTATTTGCTGGCCAACTTTCCTTCCTTTTCTTTCATTTGCTTGTTCATATTTCTTACCTTTTCTTTTTACACAAAAATTAGTTATGACTTTTGACAGCAAGAGTTAAATTTAATGACTTTTAAAAGATTCTGCTGCCCCTTTTTCCTGTTTTGTTTTTAAATGCCACATCTTCCTTTTAGGCTGACTTCCTCAAGAATATTCCTTTTTTAAAAAAAGTGAATTATTCAATTCACATTTTTGGTTAGTGTCTGTAAGTGGTATACTAGGGAGCGCATGAAATTCTAAAACTTAGACTAAGTATATTTTCTCCCCCTCAATATTGCCCTTGAAATCTGGTTTCAATCTAATGATATCTAAAGTTAGTCTGTATTATTTTCTCTGACAGTGTTTTTAAAAAATTTTTTGTCATAACGTTTAACCACAAAGTGTTTTTATTTATCCAGATAGGTTCTCAGATTGTACATTAAACAAAGAAGCTTGTCTAATCAACTCCAAAATAATCTCAGCTATTACTTCTCCCAGTTTTATCCTTGCAATATCATTTCTACTTTTTTCCTTCTGGAACATCCATTACACATAAGCTCACGTCTTCATGTGTTTCTCTCCCTCCCTCTCTCTCTCTCTCTCTCTCTCTCTCTCTGCCTCTTTTCATTATGCCAGTCCCCTCCTTAAATGTCTTGTTTTACCATTACTACCTTTTAGGTAATCTCCTCACTAACATCTTCCAAATGAGTGACTCTTGTCTCCATGTCAAGGGTAAAATTTATCCTTTCTATCAGGAAGTTTATTCTAATGAGCATTGTTTTTATTTCCAATGTTTCTACTTGTTATTTTATTTATGCCATTGAAAGATAAATGTCCCACTAGAATATTAACCCTCTCTAAATGTAGATTGTAGTCATTTTTGATCATTGCTGTATTAGTCACTTTCCCATAGCTGAGACAAAAACCTGACACCCACAGTTTAAAGAAAGGGAGGCTTGCTGGCCTCACACTTTCAGTCAGTTTAATCCATAGTCAGCTCCAAAGCAGAAACAGCATGGTGGAAGAGCATGGAAGAAAACAGCATGGCAGCCAGGAAGCAGAGAGAGAGAAAGGAGGAACCAGGGACAAACATGCACCCTTCCGGGTCACATCCCCTCGGATCTGCCCCAGTGACTAGGCCTCACCTTCAAACAACAGACTTTGGACTAGGCCTCACCTTCAACAAGAGACTTTGGGGGACCTTTTAGATCTAAACCATAACAACTTCTATATCCTCAGCACCTGTAATGTTGTGCAGAGCATACCATGGTCTCAAGAAATATTTGTAAACAAATAAATAAATGAGGAATTGACTTATTTTGGTGTGGGGGGGAATTCCTGCCTTTCTTTACAGATGGAATTTCTTCACTTACCTTTTAGGCTTTTAATATATACTTTACCAGTCTCTATCAATATATCAAATTCTCCTGGCACACACTTATTTTTCATGACCCCTTTTTCCTCAGTCTTTTTCTGTGGTAGATTTTCTCTTTGGAATTACATTTTCTAAAGTTTATTTGAACTGAGAAATTTATTTAGTTTTTATTTAATTTTTTTAGAGTTTCATAATTACCTCTATTACCATCCTTCTCTTCAAAATGTTGTTTGCCCATTTTATGCCTGCCATCAGAGAGCTGTAACTTGTTTTCCACTAGTGATTTGTATACTACACTGTAGTTTCATCCAGGTTATTAAGTCATATCAGTAATTCAGTGATGATTTGCTTGAGTTAATAGTTCAGGGGCTGGGTTGGCAGCCCCATCATCGTAAACCCAGAATGTCACAAAGCTCCAGTCTGAGTCACTGG